TTACTAACACTACTCAGGGAGGTGAGACATACCCTGCACTACTGCTAATAACAACAACAACAATAATAACAGTAATGTAACCCTCTTATTTTTAATTAGGGCTAGGCACTACTATTTTGGGGGGAAAGTGGACTCGATCTATATCCTATGTTCTTTGTCAAGACATTGATCTACATTTGCCACACTCCACCCAGGTGAAGTAAATGGGTACCGGTAGGAATGTTTTCCTTTTATTACGCAGCGCGCGTAACAGTTGCACTGCGCTGAAAGCCAGGGTAATTATGCTGCATTGATATTGAAGAGCGCTTAGAGACTTCTGTTCTGATAAATATAGTGTAAGGCGCTATATAGGCAAATATAATTATTAAAGCTGGTAACTCATTCTAAACTTGACATGGCATGATTGGGCCAGAGCTGAGAAAGAGATCGGTCTCCAGAAGATGACATTGTTCTCTGAGCATCAAATAGGGTCTTCTTTAGATAAACTTAGACTACGATTTCAAGGACAAAAAAATTAGTTATTACTTTCCAAGTAATGAGCTAGAATTGTATACTTGGGACGCTCACTGACATGTAGCCCAGTGGTGGGAGGACTCCCTGATCTAACCATGGAGATAAGTCTCCATCATCTAACCAAATAGATACCAGCTAACCAGGCGGGCCGCGTATTGTTTTATTTACAGGCGAAGAAAATGAATTTCACGATTAATTCTAATGAAACTGCTCGCGAAGGGCTTAGACTGTACTTCAAAACTTTATGTATCTTCTCAGGAATCTTGGGTTGTGTTCAAATGTTAAAATATCGTTACATAGGGCCTTTCAGTCTTCGGACTCGATGAGCGAGAAATAGGTCGGTTTTATGAGCTGAATCAAATTAAGCTAAATCAAATTAAAGGTACATCGAAGTACTACATTCCGTTTGATAGATCATGCTGCCGTCTCTGTTCATGTAAGACAATCCTTTGTGTTTGTCTTCCAAACGCGTCCATTGTATCTGGTAGACTGGCCGAAGGGAAACATCAAAACGAAAATAACATTGGAATATACCCGTATGTTGTCATGTTAGTGATTACATTCTTAGGGATTATTTCAATATGTGTTTTTTTTTTTAATGCTAATAGTAGCTGTAACTTGAGGTCAATACCATGTTACCCTGAGGTCACCTCCTGCTGAGAAATGTTGCATTCATACACACACGGGGGGGGGGGAGGGAGAGAGAGAGAGAGTCAGAAAGAGAGTGAGTGAGATCGAGGGAGAGAGGGTGTGGAGAGAGAAAGAGAGTGAGTGAGAGGGAGAGAGAGAGAGAGAGAGAGAGAATCGAAAGGGGTGGGGTTCTTGTACGTATTCAAATATTCCCGTTCTAAAGCTTGTGAGCAATAAGCAAAATGTACTTCACTCTATACCCTAAAAGAATATAAGCAACATATAAGATACATATCAGGGACATATTGTGCGAGAATGGGAAAGCGTGTCTTTTTTGTTGTTGTAGGGGTGAGAAGACATGAGCCCCTGAACGCTGGCGTACTGATGGGGGGTGTATTTCTTATTCGATACCAGTGATTTACAAATGTTGCTGTTATGACATGATTTCCCGGTATTTTTTCTCCATTTTTTTGTAAGTCATACCTTTTCATGCGTTTGTTGGATAATAAGAAATTCCCAAATTACAGTCGGGCGAAAAAGACGCTTATTAAGAAGCCTTTATGTCATGGTCCACAAAGTGGCTGGGCTCGAGCCCCCCCCCCCCCCCCCCCCCCTCTTACTTTTTGAAAAAGTATGTTAAAGAGAAAACGAAAGAAAGACGGAGAGGAAAATAAGTGACCTGCCAATGTCACAAAAAAGGCATTAAAAAATGCTCATCTGACCGTAATTAAATGCCTAAACCCCACAGCCCTAAGGCGGTCCCCTGGATGCTCATCTGACCGTAATTAAATACCTAAAACCCCTGAAATTCAGGGGGCTCTGCCCCTGGATGCTCATCTGACCGTAATCAAATACCTAAAAAAAACGAGCTTCCGAGGGTTATGCCCCCTGGACCCCACCAAGGGCCTTAAAGAGGGCCCTGGATGCTCATCTAACCGTACGTCACTGCCCCTGGAAGGTGAGCCGACTGAGCCCCCTGGAATGTTTGCCCCCCCCCCCCCCCCCAATCCCAAACTGCTTCCGGCGCGCCTGTATGTGATGATACAAATTTTGCCGGAAAACAGCCTACTAGTTGATTTATTTGGTAAATTATTATATCTATTCCAGTCCGGATAGATATAATAATTTATCGCGTAGTCCCATATACATCTTTCTGTGTACAGTGCTTGTTACTTTACCAAGACTGGGCCAAATTTCTTATCATTTTGATGATTCTAGAACCTTGCAGTACACACCAATACTTATGTGCTAGATGATCTACCTTTTCTGATCGATTTTACAATGCAATCGCATGACCAAAACTGGTCTTTACCTATAACCATTTTGTTCGTAGTTGTTTTCGTTTAGATACTTTTCTGAAATAATCATTTACCTTGACCGAAACTGTCGTTTAGCAGGCGAAATCTATATAGCACTCTTACAAAATAGTGTTTACACACAGGCATTATATTACATTCAAAGATAAACAGATGAAATTTAAACCAACATGAAGAGGTGTGGCATAATTGTATTTCGAATTCGAGCTATGTTTTACTTATTTCAAGTTTAATTGACTTTTCCAGTAGTCTGCGTAACCAGTCTAGTTCAGTATACCGATATGTAGGAATTATAAATTTAAATTTGATTTTTGTTTCCCTTCTCCATCTCCTCTCTCTTCATTTCTCCCTGCCCTGGCCCTCCTCTTTCTCTCTCTCTCTCTCTCTCTCTGTCGCTCTCTTTCCCTATGTCGCTCTTTCTCTCTCCCTATATGTGTGTCTCCCCTCCCCTACTAATTCATCTCTTTCTATTTATTTGGGCCTATTGTGCACACATTCACAAAATACCCCACTTTTCAAATATCGTTAAAATAATGACCCTGTTATCATTGGATTTCCTGCTCTATGTATATCAAAAAAAGAAACTTCAAAGAAGGATAAATCCATCAATAAAGACATCATACCCCATTTTTCAAATCCAAACTTACAACTTTGTTTTCTAATCCGGGAACTTTATATAGGTTAATGTAAGGAATATTTTTTCTCGCCCAATTCGTGAGAAAATATTTAGCGCCGAATCAGCCAGCCGGTAAATAATTACTTGAGGATGGGGGGAGGGGGGGGTCATAAATAAAACACAGATAAAATGTGTCTTCAAAATTCTAAAAACACCCCCACTTTTGCAAAGGGGGTGTTTGAACAGCTAAACATCCCCTGTTTGCCAAGGGCACCCAAAAACCCCCTCCCCCAAATACGTCATTGCACTGGACGTTACATATGGAAACAATAAATTGCCACAAGATATTCGTTATATTTCAAGTGCAAATTGCTTTCAAAATGCCATCAAAACTCATTTGTTCAAAGCGGCTTTCCAGTAGCCTGGATTTACTTTCACGCTGTTTTTGTTCCATTTGTGTGTATCTTCGTGTAATTGTATTTTTTCTTCTCCATTGCGCCTCGAACACATTAGTCATGTGTAGTTGGCGCATTACAAATAATCTATATTATTATTATTAATTTGCCCCTCTATACCTAAATAATAGAGAAATAGGATCCGGGGGTGTTTCATAAAGCAAAGTTACGCATGACTTTACGAACGGCTTGTATATGAAGTACCAGATAGGATGCCAAAAGTTTTTTTTCTGATTTTTCCAATAACCTCAATTAAATTATGGCAAAAAACACTTTGCATTAAAAATGGTTTTTTATAATAAGAATGTTAATCTACATCTGCACAGTTCAAATTTAGTTGATGCAGTTAATAATGATTGAGCATCCCATTTGGCTTTTCATATACAAATCGTTCGTAAAGTCATGCGTAACTTTACGAACAGCTTTATGAAACACCCCCCGGTAGGATCGATGACAAAAGCCTTTGTGATAGGGCATTATGCCCTCACAGAGTGCACGGTCGCCGAGGATGGTAGGGATATTCCACAGGGAGTGGAGATGATGCACACTGTGAGTGAATGAATCCGATGACCGGGTTTACAAAATGATATCTGTGAAGCCGCTTATGGCATTAATATATTTGTCGGTAATTGGTGGCTCGTTTTGTCGATAATCGGTGGCCTTGACACCCCTCCCCCTCCCCCAGTGAAAAAGGTCTAGTGACGCCCCTGATAACAACACAGTTTATACACTCGAGATAATTTTTTGCAATATACAGTAGAAGTACCGGACCACCGTCTTTGTGCATTGTGCAGCAACGAAGCATATACAACGTCTGACAACGTGACAGATCACTTTTCTCTAACTTCTAACCAATCAGAAGGCCTCGATCGTTTTTTTCCAGGAAGTGCCGCTGGACATTAATGCGCCAAATGTGCTTCTCAAATAGGCCTGTTTACTAATGTATTCACGGACCTTTAAATTTGCACACGGTTGTAAGCTCTGGCAAACAAACCGAGCGCAGTGTCTGCTACGGCCCTGCTACACACACTTTGTATACGGCGATGTGGGGAATGCGAGGAAAAAAAGGCTGATCATCGTCCTAATAAACTTCGTTTAAAACTGTTTGTTTTCCAACCTTAGGGTATATAATTAAAATAAATATAGTTTTTCTCAGTTGTACATGACAAATCTTCGATTTATTTTCCGAAATCCGACGAAATATCGCAAAAATGGGAGGTAAGCATTGCTGTTACGGCACGTGTAACAGCGATTCACGGTACGCAGACAGACCCCATATGAATGGTGTGTTTTTCATCCCGTTCCCCAAACCAAAGACGAACCTGGAGAAGTGTAAAATATGGATTAAGAATTGTGGAAGAAAGGACTTTGGAATCGACATATTATATGCTTTGAGTTTCTTTCTGTCGTAGTCAGTTCTATTTACTATCAGGTAGTTGAAAATGTCGTATAATCCGAAATCTGGTATACTTTCAAAGTTCTCGGTGTAGCCGGTGATTTTCATTGGGTCGTCGAACGAGCACCCCGCACGCTCCAACTTCTCCCGCAGCGACCGTGCGGAGTCGAAGCTCGCAAGGTCCGGGTCTTGGGGCAAAGCGATATCGGCCACAGCAGTCGCAAGTTGAACTAGTTTCTGTTTGTTGTACCCTGATGTCGTAACTCCTCTCTTTCTTAAATAATCGGTGAGCTCCTTCACTGTCCACTGCGAAAACGGCTTGCTGGAACTACAACTCGATGTCGAAGGCGATGCCATTGTAGAAATTAGGGTGAAAAAACGTCGCGGTCGCTAGCAATGGCTTTGTATGTGTATAGCGTAGCGGGCATGGAAAAACATGTGGCGACCGTGCCGCACCACGCAAAGCTTGCCCTACGTAGTAACAATCGCTAGGGTGCGAGGGATTATGACGTCACTCGCATATCATTAGTAAACAGGCCTATTGCAAAAGATCCCTTGGAGGGGGTAGGAGAAAGCTATTTTACGTCATAATTATTACTCCAGGAAGTGCCTAAAATGCGTCTAACGTGGTTCTTAAATTGCAAATGCTTCCTGGTGAGACACAGCCTCCGCTCCCTCGCCGCTAAAGCCTCGCTCTGTCGCTTCATCGTTTTACATACATTTCATCCCATGCCATTTTGTGCCTGGATCGCCACTGATGCTTATACCCCTTGAGCTTCGGGGGCTCCGCTCCCCCCCCCCCCCCCCCCCCCCCCCCCAAAAAAAAAAAAAGTTTTGCTCATTACGCCACTGCTAGCAAGTGCAAAGTGTAAAATATCTGGGAGTTTGTCTATAGACCAGTACATGACGTGGCAGGATCATGTGAAATACACTTCAAATAAAATTGCCTCTATAGGTTGGCCCTACTTCGTATAGAGTTAAGAAATATCTCACAATATTGATAGTGCCAAAGTACTTGCCAATTCCTTTATCCTTCCTTACTATGACTGGTGTAGTGTCTCATAAAGTACTTGCAAAAACAGAACAAAAGATATCTTGATTAAGCAACACAAGCAGATGGCTACATTGTCCTTAAAATAAACACATCGATTTCCACCTCCGAAATGTTTAGTACCCTAAAATGGATTGATATGGAAAAAAGATGGGAGTTCAATAAAAAAATAAATTGATTTAATAAATTATGAATAATAGAGCCCCATCATATTTATATATTATGTTCACCCTGTCCGTCAATACTCATAGATACTCAACAAGGAATTCTGAAAATCAGTGTGGGCGTTATTATTCCAAGAATTAAAACAGAATGTGGAAAACGTGCCTTCTCAGTTAAATGGTGCTCTTCAGTGGAATAACCTACCCCACTCAATGCGAAATGCTCAGACCAAGAATACTTTTTGTTCTCTCTATCTTAAGCAGCGATGTTAAAGATAGATTTGCCTTTCTTTCTTTATTTCTTTCATGAATATTTACATAAATTCTCAATATAATCTGAACAGATCATTGATAATTCATTATTTCACTCTTATTCTTTACTTATTTTCTGTTATATATTACTATGATTGGTATATTGTTTATATTGTTTAAATTGTTCAAAGAGTTTGTATCTTCATGTTGCATTTGTTTAAAGAGCCCCTGGAAAACAGTATTGTGATTACCGACGGGGCTACCCTGTTTTTATAAAACGAAATAAATAAATACACTTTTAAAAAGAAGACGGCTCCTCCCCCGGTGCTCAAATGGAGAGGGGGGGGGCGTTGAGTAAAACAAAAATAGAGCGCCATATACCCCCCCCCCCTTCAGATGCCAACTTGAAGCAGAATTCTTTTTACCAGAGGACGAAGTTTCTGCCACTATTCAAATCTGTTGTTGAGAGGCAATGCATGAACACCCATCCTCTATAAAGTTTTCAAAAACTACCTATAACGTGTGACGCCAGGGCAAATAAGAAACTTTGCGTCTCAAGTTAAATCCAAGTAAGTAAATAAAACGCCCACCAAAAGAGGGCAGGCTATTAATAATCGCTGTAGAATCTATTGACAAACAACTGACTGTACTGGAGCTGAATTCGATTACGTTACGGTAAGCCTCCCGATTTTCTCGTGATGTCATTTATTTTAAGTAATCATAGCTTTAAACTTGTATGAAATCTCTTTATATGATAAATAACGATTCTAATGAGGCTTAGAACATGGTATTTATAGATCTAGATATGTACTGTGCGAGAAAAAGAAAGTCTGCGGGACCTTTTGGTCACTCCATCACGGCATCAGACTCTAGCCCCCTAGAGCTGCCCGGTAGGTAACTCCAGGAAGCTCCGGCGTCGGCGTTACCCGGGCCGGTAGCGAGTTTAAGGCACGCGCAGTGCAGTGAGTGTGGATGAAGCTGAACTGAAGCAACACTATATCTTGGCCAGTGAGCTATAAAGTTGTCTCTGACTCTGAGCGTGTGATTGCCATTGCGTGGAATACTGCACTGCAAAATTTGCCTACATTTTATGAAATTATGACATGTCACTGATACTTGTGGTTCAAGTTGGTTGGTTGGTCCTCCACAATATATATAGATCTACTCGTCTGAGTTTTAACTGGAGGTACGTATAGTATTGGGTGGTAGTCGACTGTATTTGAATCACTGTGGCTGACTTAAAAATACATTAGACTAGGACTTCTATTTCTGCTTAAAACTGTCTTAAATAACAAAACAAAAACAGCTTTGGGAATGGAAGGACATTTTTAATTCATTATAAAAATTGCTTGTGTTTTGTGAGTTGTATAGAAAGGCTTTTTTGCTAATAATTTGATCTCTTTGTCTGTGTCTTTTGTTCAGTAAATCCAGAAGATACAGAATGAAGCACTCGGTTGCAGGCGGAGCTGCCGCTATTCTTGAGAAGTCCAGAAGTCGTATGAGAGGTCAGCACTTTACATTAGATGGTAGAGGGACCTCCAAGAAAACTGAACAACCAAAACAGCCAAGCAAGAACACCGAAGATGATGACATTGCTGTGAGTTTCATGTGCTGCAGGCATTCATATTCATTGATGGTTGGTCATCTCAACAAAACCCCCAATTGTTTTGATGGCTCTCCTAATTCTCATATTACTGTTCTTTTTTGTAATGTATTAGGACAAGTAACAAAATTAATTGTTTTTAAAAGATCAGTGAGGGAAGCCCTTAAGTTACTTTGGGGATTTGTTGTTATTTGTTTAAAGATGGCAGCCATTTATATAAGGGCTGCTGAGAGAAAGCTTTACTTTATCACAGAAGTTTGTCTTCAGTTTGTCAAGTCAGGAACAAAAATCAGAAATTAAATAATTTTCTCTCTCTTTCACTGACCACGTACAGGCACCATACAGTGCAAAAAGATAGTGCTTGTCTGTGGTAAATAACTATGTACTACAAACAAAATACAGTGGCACAGCAGTATGGTATTGTTCTTTTAATCAATGTGCTACGTTCAAACTACAGAGTGTACATGTACATAGAGATGTTAACAATATTGAAGCGGCATGCCACCACCAAAATATGTTTCAGGCAGGGTCATGAAGGCTGTATATTTCATGTATTTTTAATGTATTTGGTTGAATTGAAATTAATGAATTTACTTTACGGTACTTGAATTGAATATTTAGATAGAGGACCAATTTCCTCAAAATAAAGAAAAAATAATTACCGGTAGTACAAAACTTGATGACACATCCTATGGGTTAACAGTTAGGAGTATGAACAGTTCAGGGACCCGTTTCACAAAGCCTTTTTTCAATGACAAATGACAAAAATCAGTGACAAATCTGCTAATATCCCATCAGAAGCAAGAATTTCAGTAGCTTATATAACATAAACTGTCATTTGTCACTGATGACAAGTTTTGTGAAACGCCCCCCCCCCCCAGGAGTATAAAGAAAACACAGTATTACAAGACCCAGCACATGAAACCAAAGATGGTTTGGGTTGTGTACTTGCATTTTTTAAAAGTTTGGGTCTAGTTCTGAAAGAGGAGAATATCAGCTTCAAATTGGTAAATTGCGACTCATCAAAGTTGCATGTTCCTAACCCAATCAAAAATGAGATGAATTCCAGTCTTATAGAATACTAGGGGACAGAAAAATGCATTTTGATTTTAGAATGTGTAATTTTTTCAAGTGATCTGACTCACAAGAGGTTTGCAAGTGCTGCAAGGTGACAAAAGAAGGATTAGAACTGTAAAAGTAGAGGTTTCTGTGAAGGAATTATCACAATGTCCTAGAACACTAATGAGCACATCCTGTTCCTTATGTCTCCAAGGAAATATTGTAATAGCTTACTCTGTTTTTAGGACTATAGGAGATCAAAAAGAGACCAGTTGCCAGGGTCATAACAAACTCAAGATCATACAAACGTAGGTCAACAAAAGGTGCCCAACTTTTAGAGTATTTGATGCTTTCAATTTTTTAAAAACTACTTACATGTAGAAGAAAATATACTCTTGCGAGAAAAACCCGGTACTAAAAAGTAAGATTTGACCTTCCTGTCCAAATGCACATTTAATGTGCTCCAGGGGCGGCCGAGCAACTTCCAAAGTGGGGTGGGGGGGGGGGGGGCACCAAGAAAAAAGGGCACCTACAAAGGGAAATCTCAAAGCGAAAAAATACAATTTTTTTTTAGACATTGGTATGTAATACATTGTGATAACATTATCAGGGATGATTTCAATATTTGTTTCACTTTATACACCATACAAGATATTGCTTAAGCATCATACTCTGCAGCTGGGTGTGGTGATTCCAGTTGGCAATGGGCTATAAACTGTTGATGTTTTATATTTACAACACCCCTTGTGGACCCCGTCACCACCCAGGTATCTGTCTATAGTAGTTTAGGGCTGAGTTTACTTCCAGTGTTAATGAACTTTACAAAAGGTACAGAGTAATTTCTTTATGTTTCATGTTGCTCCCTTTTTATGATCTGCCTTTATACAATAGGCCTATTTATCCCAGCTTTCAAAGAAGACATCTGGGAAAAAGAAGAACATGGATGACATCGGTTCTGGAATGAGTGACTTGAGTCTTTCTGATGAAGCAAAGAACTCCACTTCAATGAAGTTTATGAAAAAATCAAGGTAAGTATTTTAATCAAGACATTAATCATAAGGGTGTTGAGTGGTTAGTTAAATCATGGACCCTACTACAATTATTAGGTCCATGGCTAAATGCATTGTTACATGCATCGCTACATGCAAGCAAGTTATTTTGATATCTTCTGCCACAGTGGTTATTTGTTCGTCCATCTGTCTTGCTCTCTGTTACCATGATAAAATGAGGACTACCAAAGCAGTGAGCACTAACAAAAGAAAAATATAAATGGCGCCGACTAATATTTCGCTCAGTGGGTTGGGGGGGTGGGGTGTAGTGAGCATTAAAAAAAAGGGTAATTATAACATTGAGTTTTTGTTTTACAAACGCCTTTTTTGATACAGGGCTTCATTAGGACCTGCTGAATGCTGGTAGGGTAGGAGCCCCCGGCATAAATATTCATATACTGGGTATGTGTTATTGAGGGTCCCATGGCGTTTGTACAACAAAAACTCAATGTTATATTACCTTATAAATTATATGCGAGCTATGAGGCGACTTTCCGCCCCACACCCTTATATGATATTCTTGATGGGGGCTCCTACCCTAAAATCGTTCAGTAGGTCCTAAGGAAGCCCTGTACCAAAAATGGTGCTTTCATCCAGCAAGTAACGGTAATTAATAAATTTGACGCTAAGCTATCTGACTAATTTGTATACTGACTTAAAGTGAATTGAAATTAGTCCAACTAAATTGATTTCATTTTCTGTTTTTCTTAAATGCAGCACTGCAAGTGCGGTACTACCTGGCCCTTCCCAAAGTGCACAGAGTATTCAACAGTCGGCGAGACCGATGTCGGGGAAGAAGTCTACGAGCTTCACATCCAGTGCCCTTCAGCGAGCCTCAAATATAATGCAAAGATAGCTTCCAGGAAGATAATAGTAGACAGTGATTCATCTGAAGATAGGTCCCGCGACCAGTACCAAGAACTTGATGTCACTGTGGATACTTCCAGCCCTCCTGCGCCTGCTGAGAATAGAGACAAGTACCGATTCATGAAAAAGCCATCGGGTAAAGTTGAGCCAGTAGTCGATGGGGAATCTATTAAGCAAGAGAATCCATCTTCCTTCGCAACCCCACTAGAAAGTTACCCTCGCACGGCTTCTAATGCAACAGAGTCCAAGATGAAGGCAAAGCTATCAACCAAAGCAAAATCAGAAAGTGCCACAGTGCCTTTGACATCTACTCCTATTAGAAACACACAACAGAGCAGCAGTAGACGGAATGTGTACAACAAAATAATGGCAGAGCTTGATACAGATGAAGAGAGTATTGACTATTTGATAGGAGACACCGCGGAATACTCCTCTTTTGTGAAGGTAGGGTAATTTGTTTTCATAGTGATATGTCACAAATAAATTCATTCATTTCCTATACTGAATTTAGTGCGGAGGCATATAGGACACGCAGTCGCAGTTGTCTTGTTTATTAATAGAATATTGCTTGCCAATATTTCTATTTTCTCTTTTCAGCTCAGAACTGGACTTTAATGTTTGATATTCTTAGCGTGTATTGACTCTTCGTGGCCAGTGCATTCATAGTTCTAACTTAGAGAATGACCAACTCATTATTTCTGCCCTGCCCCCTTTCCCTTCCTTTTTCTATCTCTTTTTTTACTTTCTTTCTTTTCTTACTTTCTTTCGCTCTTACTCTTGTGAACACTCACATTTTTTTGGAGCTATTTGAGGCATTGTTGGCTTGTTGTCACTCAAAGAGGGTAGTTGTAATTATAACCCATTCTATTATCAAACTTTGATCATGTTCATGTATATAAACAATATGACAAATTTGTTGTAATGTTTTGTCATTTCTTTGTACCTTGACAGGATGTGCAGCAAGTCGATACAGTTTCAGATCAAGTATCAGAGAATCGGGCATCCCCTCGAAGGCTCTCAGATACGGGTATGTTACTGCTGCTACTCTTATATCCAGGCCATTTTTGTTCTGTATTCAAAGGTTCTGTGCTAGTACCCTGAATTTAAAATCAGCTCATAAATGTTATTACTTCTTAATAACACTTTATGTGTAATTGGTAGATTTAAATACTGAAATCTGACTAAGAGAAATAAAAGACTTGTTCATAGACTAGTCGTTGCATATTCACATAAAATTCAGTGCTCCTGACTTAATTTCCAACCATGTATGACATCGTTTACTGTGTCAAAATGGGATTAGCATGAATAAGTACAAAAGAAAAGTTGAATTACATGTAAATGTATTTGCACAGAATTGGTTGGCCACAAAAAAAAAGGTCTTGAATTTACAACAAAATAAATGATATAGTAGCACAAAATTAGGACAAAATGTACACTTTTGAGGTAATTAAAACAAAAATCTTTAACACACATGTCTGTCAAATTACCGGTAGTTTAAACTACACACATATACAGTCAAACCTGTCTATAGCGACCGCCCAAGGGAAACACGAAAAGTGGTCTTTATAGACAGGTTCCTAGTACATGTTTCAATGAGAAACCTTTTTCAAGGGAAACAAAAAATGTGGTCTTTGTAAACAGGTGGTCACTAAAGCAGGTTTAACTATATATGCATGTATAAAACACAATAAATGATGAAGAAAAGGCGATTCAGGCTTTAAATCCATCATTTGTATTAGGTCACAAATTTTCGACCTACATGTACACATGGACTTGTGGAAAAACGTGGAAAAACAAATATTTGGCTGAAATTTGCCAATTGAAGACATAACTATTAAAGATCCCAGACTTTTATCATAAAATCATTTGTGATTTTAATATTAACAAGAAATTGAGGAAACAGAACATTGATCATCAAATCATAACACATTTTCATGTTTTTTCCTGTATTCTTAATGATTTGACTTTATCTTACTTTCCACAGGTTATCTCGCAGAAAATATGGAACATATATCCGTGGTTGAATCTAGTGTTCAGTCATCCATAGGAGAGGATGTAGGGCTGACATTTTTTGGTCTACAGACCATCGATGACTTGCTACCACCAAGTACCGTACAGACTCCGGACGCTTCTTCTTCTCATCATCATGATGACATATCTCATCACAAAGACATTTTTGGTCTACAGACCATCGACGACTTGCTACCTCCAAGCACCTCGCATATAACTCCAGACTCTTCTTCATCTCATCATGATGACATATCTCATCACAAAGACATTGAGAGTGTAAGAACAATGAGTCCATCAACGGTTGCGGACTCTGTCGCTTCAATACATACTACTCCAGAGAGTAGCAGGACTATGTGCTGACTCTTACTCTTCGGTCGCATCGTACAGCGAGTCAAGAAGCTACCTCTCAAAGTCAGATTCCAATTCTTCTCTTTCTACAAGCAACAACACGAGATCCAAGCTCTCAGACACCAGCATCGATACCATCACGCCTTCTAGATCTGTTTCCTACTCGCATGACTTTGACACCTTATCGCAGTCTGATGATACGACTGTATCGGATGACCAGACTATTGCGAGCGATTTCTCTACCTCCCATAGTGAAAGCAATTCTAGAAGTAGTCAACCAAGTATCGTTTCGAAACGTACAGGACATGATGCAGCTGTTCAAACTTCTGGTTCCTTGCATTCCATCAACCATCATTGGCTTAAAGGTATACATAAATGTAGCTCTCATCACCATAGGCAGAATTACAATAGAAAATCATTTATCATATAACTTGTAGAATTAGGAATAATACAATAGTGAATGAAATGTATTTTATCAGCTAGGCGGGATTCACAATGAGCTATGTATTACATAACTTGGTAGAATTATGAAAGAGTGAGATATTTTGTCATGTACACTTGTAGCTGCCAGTAAACCAGGAGGATTAAGAAAAGCAACACATTTTGCATTGCCACATCTGGAACTGCCTACATTTTGTCTCTCAATACTTTAATACAATGATCTATCAATATTCTTGTTGTAAATATATACCATGTCTCCACCTTAAATGGTTTGATATTAAGCCCAGGTTTACTTGGCCAGGAGTCTTGATAATGTTTGCTATTTTGATATAAAATTTTGTACATTCGGGCAATCGGTTAAGTTTTCTTTGCCTTTACAACTGATATGTTGTGGGTTTTGTTTTCTCCTATCTCTCTTCTCTTCTCTTCCTCATTCATTCAACTTCTTTGTTGCTCTTCCTTTTTCTATCCTCTTCATTTCTTCTCCCTCGTTCCTTCTCCCATGTTACTCCCACATCCTTGTCCCTTTTCCCCTCATGATTGTCTGGGTTATTTTATTCTCGTACATTTCCCTATTTTATTTTAACCATGTCATTCTTCATCTCTTGAATATAGATTATGATTTCCAGACACCAGGATACTTCAAGCTTCTAAGTGCAAACGTTAATGACGCAGTGTCTCATGTTGTGGACCCAATGGTTTTGCAGAGTAAGTTATTTCATCTGTATCTTACTAGATATAATTCTTTCAAAACTCTTTCAAAAATTAAAAGAACCATGTAGCAAATTGCACTTTTTTCTAGTATTAAAGATAAACTTGAGTTCTGGTAAAAAAAAAAAAAGAATTCTTACAGAATCAAACGAAACTTTCACTGAATGTTCAAGATTACAAATAAATGTCATTTGCCGAACAATTTTGGTAGAAAATGTATACTGGCTGAGTAATGAGCAAAGAAAGATAAAGAAATCAAGGTTAGTAGCCCCGACACCATTTGTGTAGTCCCATATACATCTTTCTGTGTATAGTGCTGGTTACTTTTCCAAGACTGGGCCAAATTTATTATGATTTTGGTGACTCCAGAACCTTGCAGTACACACCAATACCTACATGCTACATGATCAACGTTTTCTGATCCATTCCACAACTTTTCTTTCACATTGCAATCGCATTACCAGAACTCACCTTTATCTTTAACATGTATTTGGCATTATGTGAGACCCTCGTGTACAAATAAACTATATCAATACAATAGCCTTTCACTCCTTTAACTATTGAATTAATTTTTTTATCAAAGATGGTGTGGTCATACTTAGTGAAAGTATAAACATGTTTTGGGGAAAGCTATTACAAGAATCCTTAGTTTAACCAGGCTGAAGTAGACATGTTTTAGTGTCCTTTCTGTATTTTGGTTTGTGGGTCAAGAAATTGATAGAGACCCCATTGAAATATTGGTTATCAGTCAGGTAACCTGTCAATCCTACATGTAGATGGTATCACAAATAACTTCTAAATTACTAGTACTTAAGAATGACAGGAAGATGAGATGTTTCATTGTTCGGTTTGAAGTGTCCGCATACTTCAGGGACCAGGATATTTTACAATACTAACAAATGTAAGAGTGTATCCAAGATGGTCCTAGTACTGGTATTCAAACCCATGTCAGGTAACTCGGTGTCGGGTATCCGTTACGATCCAGAAAAATTCCAGTTTGGGACTCGCTTAAGTTTGAGCCCGGTTTGATTTAGAAGTTGGAAAAATTCTGTCAAATTTTGCCAAAGTACTGGATTATTCTGCAATAAATCAAACCAAAATCAAACTTTATTTTTCCCAAAATATGTTTTTTTAAATTTTTATTTAAACCTTATTATGTACATATTTCTATGTTCTTTCTTAACCTGTTTTGTTTAGTCGTTAGCAATCATTACAACAACAAAAATCTTGGCCATGGAAATACTTTAACCCTAATAGGGATTCCACCCCCCTCATTTTTTTTAGCGCTGTGTTTTCATTTCTATGAAGCACATCTTTTTACATCAAGTTCTTAAAATTCAGATAATTGGTTACTGCACAGCTCCCCAAAACGTTCATGCTACGCGCAGGGGTAGGCGGAGCATCTTTCAAAAGGGGGGGGGGGGCACCAATAACAAAAGGGCACTTTCTGGGGGTAAGGGATAGCTCCAAAGGGAGACCTCAAAAGCGAAAAAAATACAAATGTTAGACATAGGTATATACCTCTACATTGTGATTACATTATCAGGGATAATTTCAATGTTTTTAGTTTTTTGTACATGGTCCTAGTAGTCAGGTGGCTCAGTGAAATGATTGTTACTTGCCGGATAAAAGCATCATTTCTGGTACAGGGCTTCCATAGGACCTACTAAACGATATTAGGCTAGATATATTGTGTTCAAGAAATTTGAAAATGTGGTATTTAACTTGTCATCAATTAAGATTAAGATTGTTTCATGTCATCATGTTTTTTAGCGCTGAGTTCTTTTGACTCTACTTCGCTGGCGTTGCATGCAAACCTAGTAGAGCAAGTCCGACAGACACAGCTAGCAGTCACCAACACAATGAGACAACACCAAGCCTTTCTGGATTCATTACAGGAAGATTACTGCTACACTACTCTGGAAAACACGAAATCAGTAAGTTTTGGTTTGATGCATATTTCGTCTTTCCTTTCCTCCTTCCATGTTCATGATACAGTCAAAACCTGTCTATAGCAGCCGCCCAAGGGCAACACAAAAAGTACCCTTTGTAGACAGATTGTCTTTGAAGACAGGTTCCTTTAGTACATATTTCAATGAGAAACCATTTTCAAGGGAAACAACAAATGTGGCCTTTGAAGACAGGTGGTCTTTGTAGACAGGTGGTCACTAAAGCAGGTTTGACTGTACAACTCAATGTATTGAAAGACTCAAAGATAAAGTAATTGTGTTTTGTATTTCACAGATTTCAGTACCATTCAATACCCTTTAGCTCTGTCTATTTGACACAGTTGTTTCAAGATTGCCGTTGTAGTGAATATATGGTCTTACTTAATACCTAGAGTTCTTCAACAGTATTGATACTGTCCCCAGTTTGCTATTGGTGCTGTGAGTTAGCATTTTATTTTCCTACCAACACATTTAAACAAACCATTTTTCTTATATGAGATGTTACACTACTTATGAATGGTGCAGAGTATTGTTGTATATGCCGCTCTGGTGGCCACCCGTTTAGCCCCATCTAAATATTTCAAAGACCATTGGAGAAATGAACTTCAAACCTGGTACTGCTTAGGCATTGTTTTCTATATAGAGGGAGCAAGTAGCTACACGTAGTACAGTGGGGCTTTAACACTGTACATGTAAACTTTATGAGGTTGACCATTTGCAAACAAATAATGACACAATACATCGCCTGTAACTCATTCTATATATCTCTCTCTCTAATTCACTCTCTCTATGCTCTCTCTCTCTCTCTCTCTCTCTCTCTCCCTCCCCCTCTCTAATTCACTCTCTCTCTCTCTCTCTCTCTCTCTCTCTCCCCCCCCCCCCCCCCCCCCCCTCCCTGTCATTCACTCTCTCTATTCCCTCTCCACCATCTCTGTGTTTTTCATTATTTTCCATGCAGTTTATCAAAAGGCAAAAGAAGAGAAGAAGAAGAAGGGACAAGGACCAAAGAGAAACAACTTTAGAAGAAGATAGGAATTTTACTTTATAGCATTTCTTTACATTAGTATTGATAAGCCCCACTGATAAGCCCCATAGAGTGGTGAAGTGTGACGTCATCATCTATCAATTTTTAGAATTTCTCAATTTTTTCTTCATTTTCCGAAAGAGCATCAAAAATAATGTCCAAATGTCGAAAAACTAATTGAATATGTTAAGTATTGGCTGAGATATGACCATCTGAATGAATATATTTCCTATAGGAACTCAGTGTTATATGCTCTGGCTCCTAACCATTAGGAGCCAGAGCATATAACACTGAGATCCCATATGCAATCTTTTTATTCAGATGGTCATATCTCAGCCAATACTTAACATATTCAATTGGTTTTCGACATTTGGACATTGTTTTTGATGCTCTTCCGAAAAATAAAGAAAAAATTGAGAAATTCTAAAAATACATTTTTATGACGTCACAGCTTCGGTACTCTATAGTATGAAACATCTGTTGCATTGCTGATATTACTGTGGATCATTCCTTTACTGAGGATACCCTTGTAGCATTTCCAAATCTCAGCCAATGTTTCATCTGCTGAAGTTAGAAGTGAGATAACTCCATGTTACAGGGTAAGAATTAAAGATAAAATTGAGTTCTGATAAGAAAAGAAAATGAATTCTCACAAAATCAAACAAAACTTACACTGAATGCTCAAGATTATAAATAAATGTCATTTGCAAAACAATGTTGGTAGAAAATGTATACTGGCTGAGTAATGAGCATAGAAAGATAAGGAAATCAAGGTTAGTAGCCCCAACACCATTTGTGTAGTCCCATATGCATCTTTCTGTGTACAGTGCTAGTTACTTTACCAAGACTGGGCCAAATTTATTATGATAATAATAATAATAATAGTGGCTACTTGTATAGCTCACAGGTCCACCTTTCGGTGCTCATGGATTTTGATGACTCCAGAACCTTGCAGTACAGACCAATACTTGCATGCTACATGATCAACCTTTTCTGATCAATTCCACACCTTTTCTTTCACAATGCAATCGCATGACCAGAACTGATCTTTATCTTTAACCCCTTGCTGGCTCTGAACAGACACTATGATACGATTAGACTGCTGCTTTTACAATTTCTAATGATTCTAAAGTTCATTAAAAAAATTCTTGACGGTACTGTAAGATTACGACTTATATTACGTTATAATATCATTTCTTGAAAGCCTAATACCAAGGTTGTTAAATACTTTGTTTTATGCCCATCTTTGGAACATTTTTCACTTTTTGTGGCGAATTGTAAAATGGCGCAATAAGGATGAATTGGATTTGTGAGGTTTCCTTGATGGGAGATGGAGGGGGAGGGGGGGGGGGTCTGATATATATATATATATATATATATAGGTAACTCTTAGATATTTTGGAGCTTTCATTTAGAAAACAAATGGATTTACAACAAACAACTTGCGTTGAAGTATGTTTGAAGCGGGCTAAACAAACATAACAGAATGCACTCTCTAAAAACATTCTTCCATACAAGAAAATAATCAAATTCCCTGCTATTTCAAAACCATGAAATATTTAGTATGAAGAGCATTATTATACATTTATTTATAATTCTTATTTGCCAATCCGAATTAAACACAGGACATGTTACTGTATTATGACGAGTTGAAATGAAACAGATTTAGTGCACAAAAACAAAACAATTGCAATGACAGTATTTTGACTGCCTGCATTTAGTTGGTTGGTTTATTTCATAGAACCATCATGCGTGATACATCAGGTCTGTTGACAAAAATTTGAGGGACAAGATTTACTAAAGCGCAATTTCTTACGAGTCATATCTATCAAAAGCTTTAATTAAAGGGTGGGTGCTGCGGAATCTGTGAATAGCACCCACTTTAGAGGGCAAGTTGAACCCTGATATTAAGTTGGTTTTGAAGCAGAAAAATGAGGGAAACAGGTCAGTGAAAGTTTTAGCAAAAACCGATTAAAAGTAAGAAAGTTTTGAACTTTTGAAGGTGGGGTCAATCAAAAACATATTGGTAACTCTGTGACATATCTTTTGAGCTCCTCTCTCGTTTGCCCAGTATTAAAAAACTTCATGAATTCATATTTTCCCTTAAAGATAAAGGTAAGTTCTGGTTTTAAAAAAAAGGAAAATTAATTCTCACAGAATCAAACAAAACTTACACTGAATGTTCAAAATTACAAATAAATGTCATTTGCCAAATAATTTTGGTAGAAAATGTATACTGGCTGAGTAATGAGCATAAAAAGATAAGGAAATCAAGGTTAGTAGCCTAGACACCATTTGTGTAGTCCCATATGCATCTTTCTGTGTATAGTGCTAGTACTTTACCAAGACTGGGCCAAATTTTTTGATGAATCCAGAATTTTGCAGTACAGACCAATCCTTACATGCTACATGATCAACTTTTTCTGATCCATTCCACACCTTTTCTTTCATGATACAATCTCATGACCAGAACTCACCTTTATCTTTAAGAAAATTTTCAATCCTACATTCACGCTAAATATAATTATTGCAATTATGTTTTCTAATGCGATGCCTGTATGAAACAAATCTATTCGGTAATCAATAAGAAAAGGAAAGTTTATGATATCTTTTGTACAGAGCAAATTGGAGAGGAGTTAGCAAGACATGTTACATTGCTGCCAATTTGCATTTCACAGATGACTACTTTTAAATTTCATAACTATTCTATACAGTTTTGATTGGACTTTTGGTTTTCATTAGTTTTCACTAATTCATTTCTCTAATTTTTTCTGCTTTAATTAAAACCAACTTAATATCAGGTTGGATTTCACCTTTGAATATGCTAAATTATGCCCAAAAAAAAACACGAATTTGGTATGATAGATAAAACAGCAATTACAGTGTTGATTACTCTAACATATTCTTTTTTCTTGATTTTTATGTTATTTTATGCTTATTTATTCATAGAACACACTTTCACTAGTATAACAAGAAATAAATATACCTCAAACTCAAATATTATTGGTGAGATCATCAAATAAAATGAAGTTATGATAATTGCAATAAAATATATTTATTGATTTGAATGCTATGTTATATACTACATGCAAAAAACATGCTTTATTTGTCAAATTCAGTTTATCTAAATATCCTGTGTGTGTGAATACGATATACCGGTAGTGCAATTTCAATTGATTAAAAAATATTGATATTGTATAGGTTGTGCTGTAACTGTCTCTTTCTTGGGATTTGTATGTACATTTAAAAGAAAAATGAATAACTGGAATTGGAGATGACGGAGGGAAAAATAAGTGGAATTAGTATCGAGTTGAGATAAAAATAAATGAAGTTTGAATGTGGTGCTATTGAGTTGAGAGTAGAAATAGTATAGTGATTTACGAGATCAAAACATAAGTTACAGTGATGAGTTCAAGGGCGGTGGAGAATCTTTCAAAGAGGGGGAAGGAGCTCAGGAGGGTATCAAAAAGGGTTCTATTTGAAAGAAGAGGACACATACATAGGGTAATCACCTAGTTTTTTAGACATTGGCACACTCTCCACCCCCCCCCCCCCCCCCTCCCCTCCCATTCCGGGAACGGAGGGATCGCATTCATGTTCCCAAAATCTCCGGTAAAGGGGTACTTTTCACGCACCATAGTCCGGCTCGTAGTACACAACAAAAATCGACCCGTATTGACTTAACACACACGGACTTTAATAAGGGGTGCTTTCAAAGGAAAGGAACATGCATACGCGTGACCTAAATAATACTGAGTGTGGGGGGGGGGGGGGGGGCTCGATCTCCACGTACCCTTTGGAGAGGCAACCACACGTAGCAAAGTACAGAGAAGATACAAAAATACCTTGCTTACATGTAAGTCAAGTCATTTCACTCGACACTCTTGATGTCTTGATAAGACCATTCATCGTTATTTGTTTCATAAACCTTTTTCAATTCAATCGAGCTTTATTGAAACAAGATGGCAGGCACAGGATTATCTATTTGTATAATTTTTAAGTGCAACTAAAATACTAAAACATATGAAAAGTTGCAATAATAAGCAAACATGTAAAATAGAATATTAAAGTTACACGAAGTATGTTACATGAATAACATTGAATACAAATAAAAGACTGATGTAAAACTGATGTACAGCTAGGTACCTCGATCACGGTTCTAATATAGGAAAACTACCCCCTAGACAACCACCCCCGACCAATTACCCCCTTGGACAATCACCCCCCCCCCCCCAATCACCCCCTTGGACAATCACCCCCCCCCTTGGACAATTACCCCCCCCCCCCGAAAAAAGTAATTTCCGGGGAGTTATTGTCCTCGGGGGGGGGGGTAGTTTTCCGGGGGTAATTGTTCCAAGGGGGGGGGGGGTTGTCCTGATACGCTCGACCACTGCTATCAATTATATATTTTTGTTAATGCATAATAGTATGTAATGAAAAGGTACTATGAGGGCAAGGAAAAGGAAATAGTATGTTGGGGCTATTTGATGAGCGGAATACAGAATGAGGGAGAAGTATAGAATATGGAGAAAAGAAAATACAGATAGTGATTAATTGTACTTGAGTTGGCTTTACTTCAACAGAAGTCACTCAGTCCAGACTACAGGGACCCGTTTCACAAAGCCTTTTTTCAATGACAAATGACAAAAACCAGTGACAAATCTGCTGATAACCAATCAGAAGCAAGGATTTCAGTAGCTTATAACAAAAACTGTCATTTGTCGCTGATGACAAATTTTGTGAAACGTCCCCAGAAGTGATGTCATCCATCATATTCTTTTTCCCAGATGTCTTCTCTAAGAGCTGGTATATAAAGCATGCCTATTTAAAAGCATGCGGACATCAAAACAGAAAAACAAACTATACTCGATCTGCATCATTTCCTTTAGAATAAACTGATGACAGAGTAAAGGCAAATTCATCTTGCATGCATATGTGTATGTGTGTGTTGTTTTGACTTGTCTGTTTGGGTGGATCGACTTTGTCCTTATTGGTTGTAGCCCACACCCCCTTTGAAACATGGCCTCGATGATAATAAATCATTTATTGATGAATGCTTGATAAATAGTAGCTGCTTAATCCATGAATATGCTGATTTTAATACACGTGGGGATTACATCTTGGGCACATTACACAATAGGACTAGATGATGGAGGCGTATCTAATAAGTATGGCTTTGGGTGCACGTTTATTCCAACTCGATCTGTAGGCTACCCCCCCCCCTCCCCCTAGATACGCCACTTCGTAGAATTTAGCCCCCCCCCCCCCCCCCCAAAAAAAAAAAAAAAAAAAAAAAAAAAAAAAAATTGTTGTATTGCCTTTTATAGTTGCTAAAACATGGGTCGGTCGGTCGGAATTTTTTTTTTTTATCTCTCTCTTTGGGCTGATATTTCTATGTTTTGAATTCATTAATACATTTTTTTTCTTAAGGGCAATACAACATATTGTAGGCCTTATTATAGGGTGATTTAAACCACCGATAATCATTTCAGTTTTACTCACTAAATATGTATACAATTAGCATTAGTCTTGTATTTGGATTTCAGTTTGAGGTTAGGGTAAGCGTTATATTTAGTATTTTGGCCATCATAGGCTTAGGGTTAGGGTACTGGTTAAAAATAAAGTATCGTGTATTATATGCATTTGGCCAGATCGTCGGTTAAAAAATAGGCCTTCTTTCATGGGTGTCGATACTTACGTAATACCTATTCATCAGGGGGGATGAATGAATAGATCATCCCCCCTGATGAATAGGTATCAGTTACGGATCGACACCCATGCCTTCTTTTATCGAACTATGCGGTATCCCCATGGAAATTTACTTGCTTCAGATTCTTAGAGTATGGCCTGAAAGTTTTATACAAATTGTGCAGTTGTATATAGAGACCAAGGGGGCGTATACGGTGTACCCTTTGCCCTCGTCATAAAAAAAACTCTCTTCGAGTGGGTTTATCTCCTGTCTATCGATCCAAACACACTACATGTAGCTGGGTATAGTCTTGGACCTTGGGCTGACGGTGATTTGCAAATAAAACACTCCTACGTGCAAACAAAACCTCGCAAACTTAGATCCCGTGATATATAATGGGCTTTTACTATCAGTGATTCAGCAATTCAGTACAGATCTTGCGTTCATTGTGTGATGTTTACCGTTTTTTCGTTTTCAATATCTACGTTCTGTGCATGGGATTTGTCTTAAATAGTTTGCTTCGCCATGGCTAACATGAAGGTGTGGACCATACTATTGGTTTGGATCTCCTTCCACGGGAACTCCGAAAGTCAAACTGATATGACGGGTAAGTATATTAATAGTAATAATAACTCCGCTTTTATATAGCGCTTAAAGGTAATAGTGATACAAAGTTTTGGGAAATTTTGAAAATTGGGTGGGTAGTGATTCCTTACCATTTTTATATATTTGGATGCCCCTGTGGATGTATTATTAGCACTAGAAAATTTAGCCTCTCAAACAATTGTGCTTTCGAGAAAAATTGAATATACAAATTTACCGGTGCTCCCGGTAAATTTTGACCAATTTCAAATAGCGCCTACGGCTGTACACTGGTAGCTGCGACCATGAAAATCTCAGAATATGAAGTTGTGATATATAGTTTCCGAACGGGAACAACTAATCGGTAGATTTTAGTCAAGCAACATTGTTTTATAGCTTAATTTATATCTTGACCTTGAGAGGGAGCTATACAACATAAAGAGTTTATTATTTACAATTTCATAACTTTAGACTCGATTTCAACCGCAACAACGATCACTGAATATTGTAGGACCGCATATGCGTCCAATATGTTCATTTGAACCAAATTCATGACCCCATACCAAAACTTTGTATTACCTTTAATACATCAATGACGTCTCTAAGCGCTTTACAGGTATATTATTACCCCGGTCATTGGATTCAATACTTGCCCGCACACAATGTGTGCACAATCTCCACTCCCTGGGGAGCATTCCAGCCAGGCGTAAATTAACGCTCAAAACTGTTTGACCAACAATGACGGTCGCATGATAACCATGTTTTTTTTGTCCAAATTACCATCCACCATGGTAACCATGGTTATCATGGTACCAAAACAATGAAATACATTGTTTAATGACCCAATGTATTTCATTGTTTTGGTACATTGATAACCATGGTTACCATGGTGGATGGTAATTTGGACAACAACAAAATGGTTATCATGGTACTTTTTTGTAAGGGTTTATTAATTGGTAAGTGAAATACCTGTACCCTATCTTTTTTTAATCATAATATCTCATTCTCTATGATGCATGTAGCTTCCTCTACGGAGAGAATACCAATTACATCAACAAAGTTTAATGAAATACAAGACGTTTTGCCAAATGTCTGCAGAAGTGAAATAGATGATCAAAATCAAAATCAAAATCCCATGATTATATGTTTATAGTCTCAGGCATTTTAACTCAATGCACTGAAATAAAGTATGTAGAGACATACAAGATGAATTATTGACGTGCATGCGTGTATTAACCATTTATTGCTTGATGATATTCGTATGTTTTTTAACCATGCGGAAGGGCGTTACCTAGGATTTCTTAGGGGAGGGGGCCCAACTTTTTTTTTTTTTTGCTCCCGAAAATTTGAAAATCGCGCCGGCCGAAAAGTCACTCAGTGGGGGGGGGGGGGGGGGGGGGGGGGGGGGGGTACAGGGCACAATTTTTTTTTTGCTCCCGAAAATTTGAAAAACGCGCCGGCCAAAAATTCGCTCAGTGGGGGGGGGGGGGGGGGGGGGGGAGTGAGCACATTTTTTTTTTTTTTGATCCTCAAAAAAATTTCAATACAGGCCCGAATTCACAAAGAAGGTTTGTCGACAAACCTTGGTTTTCGTACGTCATAATTTATGACGCGTTTTTACGCGTTTTTTTACAAACCTGGTTTGTAAAGAACAAAAGGAGGTTTGGCGAAACAAAAGGAGGTTTGGCGACAAACCTCCTTTGTGAATTCGGACCTCAATGTTGTACAATATAATTCATGGCATATATATTATTATAGACGTTTTCCCTTTATTTTATTGTGTTTGCTATTTTTCTTCTGGCAAAAAAAAAAGAACGATATTTTAATATGTTGTCTATAAATATGACGTAATGTATATATATATATATATGTATTCCGTAGTTATATATGTATCGTGACACCATCACAAGCTCTATGCTTTCAGGTATAGTCTCAACTTTTTCGTCCGTGTATGCAAATTTACTTTATTATAATACATACAGTAGCGGTACTATATGTCCCGTTTCGGACCAAAACAATGAAAAGGTTATATTCCACCATCATTTATTTAGTGAAAGATGATACAAACTTAGAATTTCCCCAAAACGAAAGGGCTTGAAAATGTCTTTTTGTGGGATAATAAAGACCGTTAGTTGTTGAATCGACTTTAGGGGTTGAAACCCTTTTAGAAAACAGGCTTATTTTCACACCCTTATTTTGGCCATTAGGCATTACAAGAAGTGTGCTATTGATGTAGACAAATTCTCATGTGCCCTATACAGCTCATTTTATGTATGTTATTACCAAGGAAAAAATGAAGTCAGTCAGTCACTAAATAGTGTCTGGCAGTGAAGTCTAGAAAGTAAATGGTTTTCCTTACATAATTTGAATACTAGGACGTTTAAATTTCCGATATAGGACATACGTGACATATATTCCTGCAACGTTCTACATAATTTGATGTTAGCTGCAAAAGGGACCTTTAATTTTATAACTAAATGGATTCAGAATCTGATTCTGTACCAGTGTACCTGATAATCATATAATGAAGCAGAATTGGCGCGATTTTAATAACCCCAATTTGGAAGAAGACGACAAAAAAATTAGTCACAAAAATCGCTGATTTTAATCACTTCCGTTTGTGAATATAAATGAAGCTTAATTTAGTGTGAAGACTCGATCTGCTCATACCATATTCGAGATGATGCAAGACGTGGTCCACATAGAAGAATCCATGAATTAAATTTAACCTTTTAAATTGATTGTTAAATTATAATTTCATCAACACTGTAGCTTTTCTTTTGTGTTGCTTAATCCCCTATAATTGATCATCTCGGGATAGGCGAAAATAGTGATTTTTGTTCATGTGACCTTATTCGACCTCTATGCAGCCAACCGTGGACAATCCAGTGACTATTGTATCACAAGAATTGGGCCATGCACAATACTCTACACATCAAGTCCATGCAAGTCCATGCCCTGATAATAACACGTTCATAATGATATACATCAACAAAATCAATCTTATAACAATTAATAGGCAATTAATACATTATAGAAGTGTCTTTTTTTCTTTCTTGTTCACACTGTATATTCGAGCTGTAAAAAAACCCTATAAAGACAAACAAATGACAACTTTATTTAATTTTCTATGGGCCGACGGATGAGTATGAGAAAATAATAGAGAATAACAAAACATTGCACACGGAACCCAAGTCCGAATTGGGTTCCGTGTGGACATATGGGAACGCGTTGGGTGCGTCACCCACGAGTTGCTTTTATGTTTAAAGGACCCATGACATCGAAATACAAGTGAATTCCTGTTGGTGTGCAGTCCTGCATACATCTCATATTTGATATGTAAACTTCTGAATTTGTTTCATAGATTTTTTAATATTTTTTTAAATATTTGTTTTTCAAACTTGCTAAGCTCCACCCAAAACCTCCAGATCTCATTCCCCTTGTGACATCATCTGTCAGTCACCTTGAGAAAGTGGCATGTAACTTTGCCAAATTTGACCTCCTGTTACAATACCACAAACAATAGCAACATATAAGATGCTATGTCAGACATGTCAGACTAAACTAATATTCTAGAATAGATAATGGTATGTAATTTCCCCCCAGCTTAGCACACGTTCATAATAGAATTGCATGCTTCCATACATTATGTACAATACATCATCATTGCCTTTGTCTTCCTGGTGATGATACAGCTAAAAAAAAATATTTAAAAATCTATGAAACAAATTCAGAAGTTTACATATCAAAATATGGGATGTTTGCAGGACTGCACACCACATGAATACACTTGTATTTCGATGTCATGGACCCTTTAAATGAGAGATTATTTATGTTAATACAGTGGCTATAACAAGTACTTTGGAAATAATTATGTTTAAAATGCTTATTTCATGACATCTGCATGATTTGTTCGTTATCAGATTATGGGCCAAAGAAAGTCTATGCAATTGGATGGTACTAGATAGAAGTACTGCCATTTTATTTGCACAAAAACGTTTCAGTCTCAGATAGGAACAAAGGTCAATCCAGGCAGTTATAGTGCATGTGCGAAGACTTTTAACTATCAATGATTGATTTGAACAGTCATTTGATCTTTAACCCTATACCGAGCTTTGCATACTCACAGTGGCGTATCAAGAAGTTTGATAAAAGAGTCGAGGGGTGGAATCCCGCCCCCCCCCCCCCACTCCGGGAACGGAGGTACCGCATGCGTGTTCCCAAAATCTACGGCTCGTAACAAAGCAAAAGATTTACCCGTATTGACTTTACACACCGGACTTATGCTGAAAGGGGGGGGGGTGCTGTAAACACGCAATATGAGTACCTAAATAACACTGAGTGGCCGGGGGGGGGGGTGGAATGCAGCACCCCAAGACAAGGGTCTTATAACTGGGCAACTTCTTTGTTCTTCTACGTATATACCGTGTGAGTCAAACAAAAGTTTACACCTAGAAAATTGCTGATTATTTTAAAATCATCATTATGAACAGTAAATTATTATACATCTAATGCAAGAGCGTTTTATCCCAAATCATTTAGTATAATTTTTGTGTGGTATGACTGCATGTGTTCACGCTTGGATGAACGGGAGGCATTGTTTGCGAGAGTGGAAAAATCGACTTGCGCCAAAGTTGCTTAGTATGTGATGTTTAATCCGTTCAAATTTCAATAAAACACGCTAAGCCTTGTTGATCGGGTGGTAATGTCTTTTTTTCATGACCGTGTTAAAGGGGGGGAGGGTGGGATGAAGGAGGGGGCGGGCGGGTGATGTACCATTTAACAACCAAAAAAGAAGCACAGAAAAGAAAATTGCGCCTTGTTGTGAGTGACAAACTGAAACCATGCCACTCTGTGTAAAGATGGCCCTGAGTTCCCATTTTTAAGTTTCGTTCAGACACCCCCCCCCCCCCCCCCTAAAAAAAAAACCGCCGTGGTATATTTTGTTTTTAGGTTCGAAAAGAATGACAGCTGACGGTGCAACCCAAATGAGGCGCGTGTTCACTGAACTCTACGTTATTATTGAAGACCAGAAGGTAAAGCGTAGGCCTATGCAAAAATTGACTTGCACAAAAGTACTAAAGCGAGAGAATAAATTGAATGTCTCAAATGAGATACAAATCATATGCCATTTTGCAGAAGCAAAGTCACACACAAACACACGCACAAAATAATGTTCTTTGTTATTTTAAATTTAATGTGTGATATGTGTGGCATAATTTGGATCTGCAAGGACCAAATTAATACCAAAATCCCAACCGTTTTTTTCAAGCATCACATTATCAACAACTCGATTTTTTGCACGTTGAAAATAATTCCTCCTGTTCATTCGAGCGTAAACACATTCCACACAAAAATGATACTTAATGATTTGGGATAAAACATTCTTTCATGAGATGTATCATAATTTACTGTACATAGATGATTTTTGAAATGATTGGCATTTTTCTAGGTGTAAACTTTTTTGACTCACACTGTACACCCCAAATATAGTTAGTTTCAAGTTTCAAGTTAAGTGAGTTTTCCTGGGCCAATGGTCGAAAGCTAGCTATACACAATATCTACACAGTAATGCTGGGTACGTCACCGCCCTCATCATCACCACTATCACCACCATCGCCAACTCCACCATTCACAGTGATGTCTTTACAGCACAACTCGTCTGCAACAAAACCTATTATTTGTCTGGATAATGTTGGAATGATTTATGTTCTTTCAATTTTATTATTGTATAGTCATTTCCTATGTCTTTTATTGTATGTCTATTATTTTTCGATCTTTCCATCTCTCATCATCTTTTCATATCCTTTTATTAACTTCTCTCGTCTTCTCTTTCTTTCCATATGTTTTCCTTTATTTCAATATTAATTTTCACATTTTGTTGTATCATTCCCTAGTCTTGCTCTTTCTCTCTCCCTCTTTCTCTCTCTCTCTCTCTCTCTCTCTTTCTCACTCTCTTTTCTTCTCTGTTTTTTAATAATGTTTAATATTTAAGCTTTCATTCCATTATATGCTACTTCTATCAAATCATTTGTATTATTTTATCCGTTGTTCTATTAATCTATTTCATCTTTCTTCATTTTTCATTGTTTTTTTATCCTTCTATCAACTTTTCTAAGAGACTTTCTGATGTGGTATTCATATTTATTTTGAGATTTAGAAACGCGTAAGTTGATATTCGAGCAAGCTAGAGACATTATTCAGGACACTTGCTAGTTTTGCGTGAATTTCAAGACAATTCTCTACTTTCCACAGTTACCATGACGACGGAGATGATGGGCACAGCACCCATGACCTTCAGGACCCTACCTCCTCCTCCCCCGCCATCAATCCCACCACCTCCACCTACCACAGTTGAACCTACACCCGAGCCACCAGTTACAACGAGAATCCCTCCGCCACCACCCTCCTCCGTCCCCACCACCACCTCCTCCACCATCAGCCACCGTACCAACAACACCAACGCCTACCCCTAACCTTCCTACCACAACCAGCAGGACATCAACCAGGATGTTAACCACCACTGTGGCCATCGAACCTACTCAGATGCCGATCGAAACCACTCGCCAGAGAACGGAACCCATCAATGTAGAACGAATCCTGTCGCTGAATCGCTTGGAAAGATTGGTGTCTTGCTCACCAGTCCTCTAGAAGAGGTATTTTTTTATCATTTGTATTTTTTTTATCATTGATGATTAATCTTCCACTGGTAATTCTGTTTCTCTAAAAGAAAGCCCTATACCTCAATATAGTCCGAACGTTGTTTGAAGTAGGCACCGGTTAGTATTATGGCAATCAGTCAAGTATGACTGTTATCACCAATAAACTTTCATTGTTATGGAATGTGAATACCACTGATATCCCTATTTACACCTATTTTCTTATCAAGGGTAGGCCTCTTATTCGAAAACGATCAAGGTGTCGTCCCCCGGGGTCGTCCCTCGATATTGGAGTAGGCCTACCCCCCAAATTGCCTAAATGATATTTTAACGATGCCTTTCCCCATATGAGAAGAGAGAAATAGGGGTGAAGGTCGCGTGACACAACTGTAGATGATTATTTATTTAATCAGTCCACTCATTTATTGTGTAATTTATAATCTCTTCCTTTAGATTGTCACACTTTATTATTTCTGTTCTCTCCTTTCTGTCTCGTCCATCATTCTCTCTCTCTCTCTCTCTCTCTCTCTCTCTCTCTCTCTCTCTCTCCATTTCTCTCCTTTGTATTGCTGTATTACTATGACATTATGTATACATTTAGATGCTGCGTGTAAGCATCGGCTTGCATCGTGATGTAGATATAAAGTAGACTTCTAGCCTCCATTCCCGTAATTATGCTCTTACATTTTTACTGCATTTAGTGTAAAAAGAAATCTTTAACTATTTATTTCTTTTATTTTCATTTTTACTTATCTATATACAGTTTGATCGAGAGGAATTCAAGAAGGTGATATCCCGGGAGGTCAACAACTACTGCTCCGAATTCACAGGGCAATGTGCAGGAGAAGGAAACACTGTAAGGTATGTACAGCGTCTTTATTTTCCGTAACCTAGCCATCCTAGAATGCATATTAATATTTGAATATATAAATATTTGCGTTGGTACGGTGAGGTGGAGATCAAATTCAAAATTAAATCGGCTAGACTCTGGACTAAATTAACCAGTATGTTGCGATGATTATGGACAAGTTACGACCTGGGTAGTCATTCGTTTATACGGTAAGCCTCCCGATTTTGTCGCAATGTCATTTAAAGTAAACTTAGCATCAGATTCTGTACACATGCGTGCGTATCATGAATATTGATGACTAGCGCATAACGTATAGGTCCTATTGAGCCAATCAAATGCAGCGACAGGATGGCTAGGTTACGAAAAAAAAAAGAAGCACCCTGTTTGGATAAGTCTCAATCACATCCGGGGTGCCTTTATTCACAAAGATCCTAAGTCGAACTTAACTCAAAGTTGGACTTAAACATTATGGAGAGTCACTTGTAGCCTTAAAATAAAAATATATCAAAAGCGAAAATTCAAGTACTTTTGACTTTTCACATCAAGAAAATGAAATCTCCTTGATTATGAACGATTTTAATCAACATTTTATGCCTTTTAAAATAATTTTTACAAAATATTTTCAAAGATGCTAATGGTTTTCCGTAATTGTTAAGTCCAATGTAGAGTAAAGTTCGACTTAGGATCTTTGTGAAACATCCCCCCCCCCCCCCCCGATCCGATAAATCTCCAATATCTAATTGCATTATGACACGAACGCGCTTATACAATTCGCTTTAATTTTCACATTTCACACAAATATTGGGTACACGGACGACCTTTGTTGCGCACAACTACTTTTATTTTTCGATTCCACTTTAATACGATTCATTTACACTATTGTTGATTTACACTAAACAACCCTTTTCAAGTATATTGAAACTTTTGGTCACATTTTTTCGTAAAGGCCGGTGAGGTTTTCTTTTAAGCGATCCTAATATTGTTAATGATTTTGAAATATGAAGTTCTTAGGAATAATGTATCTGATTAGATAGGCGCATCGCTACACCTTTTTACAGGATGAGGGATGTAAAGGATCAACTTTGCTGACTAGGCTTTTGAAAATTTACACACACAACAAAAGGAGGTTAATCACATTTTCAAATTTGCCGGCAAGGAAAGGACGTGTTGTCGGATTTCCCACATTACTTTCATTTTTTTGAGATTTGCCAACAATTTTTAATGTCACACCCCACACCCCCTTCTGATGACCATCCTAAGGGCGAATCGTCAGAAGTAAGAAATCAAAATGTTTTAAAAAATGCATTGTCGAAAGCGCACCCCTTTATTACGGTACCTTTGATTTCGAGTTATTTGGTCATTTTAGCTGCAAGTCGGTTATTGGGATTTACAATCGTTTTCGATCTTTTGACTTTTATTTTCTGTTTTAGTGCCAAAAACGTGGTGATTATAAGGGCGGAACTCTACGAGCAACCTGAGGCGAATGGGGCCGGACGTAGACTACTTCAGGAACAGCAAATCTTGGTAGAATACTACGTGCAGGATCCATTTTTGTCTACGAACGTGTTTCTTACAACGGAACAACAACGAATGTTCCTTGCTAATGAGGGAGTGAACGACGCCCTGCAGGTATGTGCAGCTTTATTTTGAGAAATATTTAATTAGGGTCACGGTAATTCAATGCCACCCGAATGGTTTAATGTAAGGACCTGATTTAAATAAATTATTATAACTGCTGAATAATACAATTACAGTGAGAGTTATAGTCTTCATGGACATGACAAAGGGTAAAAAAAAGTGTTTGGACTAGAGTATACTCTTTAATTATTTTCCTGAACATAATGGGTAGAAAATATTTCGGCCAATTTTCTGGAAAATTCCAATTTTGTCACCCGATGAGGATTGAATTTCAGAGAATTTAAATTGCCGTTCACCAAGTTTATTTCATGATCCGTGCTTTAAACTCACATTTGAATTCTTTTAAAATTCGTTTTCTCATTGCATGGATAAAAGGCATGCACTCAATCGCTCAGTCGTGTACAATTATTTTGTTAAATGACCACTTTAATGATTTTCCATATTTTTAATAATTCTATATGTTGTGTAAAAGAGTAACAGGTAAGCTATCTTACACTATTATTTGCAGATGATAAATTTTAGTTTTAATTAAGTAATGGCGTTTTATATAATGACGTTTGTGGCACTTTTATTTTATTTTAGAACATCTAAAAGTCCTGAATTTAATCCAAGCAGCTTTTGTAAAATCGACCACTTAACTTTTATGAGTATTATCAGCTTGAGCTTTACAGAGCGTTGCAGAGATTTTCAGAGCCGAAGTGATGTATCATAATTCAAAATTTTCCTAAAAGTATGATGGCAAATATTCATGATAAGCAAATTTACAGCATTTATTCTTTCAAATTCGAATTTTGTCAATGGGCAGTTTTATTTTCATCCCATTTGTTGTGTACAAAACTCGGGCTTTATTTTTCACTCCCTTCGCCAGTATTTTGATCTGGAATTGTACACATACATGTACTTTTATAAACTTAACTTGCTGCTAGATAGATTGTGATTGTGACATACGTTTTTGAGTAACTTGTTAAACCAAGATAAACCCCGTTCTGACTAATGTAAGGCCATGGTCATGCCAAAATATAGTTATTTTTATTGTAATGTTTAGATGCAAATGATAATTGAATAAAAACATTCTCTATTTTGCAAAATGAAACGAAATACTATTATTTATGGAGGTTTTTAAATTTGAAATTTGATGATTTCCATTTTTTGCATTAATTAGTGAACATAGGAAGTGAATGTGCAGTCGTATTACCGAGTGATTGTGATGTCATTCTTAAATTGCCCCTCCAAGTGAAAAATCATTCAAACAGCTTTTTTAAAATTTTATTTCCCCCCTGATTATGACTGTTGTTTTCTTTGTAGAACGACATCGATGGTTACAGTGGCATTGCACCTGTGTACGCTGAACCTTTGGGTAATGATGGACTGGAAGGTTGGGAGATAGCTCTCATCGTTATAGGCTCAGTGGCTGCTGCTGGACTGGTGATTGGAGCCGTAGCTTTCCGTATGTCTAAAAAGTAAGTTTAGTCGTAGCTTTCGGTACGTCTGACAAGTAAGTCAGGGCTGTCAACCCTCCCGCAGTTGGAGGGCAAGTCTCACGCCACCACGCTCATTCTCCCGCCGTCCCAATGCTCGTAGCGGGAGGCGTCATTTTCTTCTGCGGCACAGATTTGGGCTTTTTTTTTTTTTAAGAGGTCTTGATTTAACCATAACCCTAACCCTAAACTTTCCCATAGGCTCAACACGCACCTAACCCCAATCTGTGCCGCATAAAAAAAATAACGCTAGCGGGAGACTCCCCCAACCACGCCCTTCCTCCCGCTCTACCGCAATCTCCCGGTTTATGAATCGTAAGGTTTTTTTTTTGCTCAACGGGGGGGGGGGGGGGGGGGGGTAGTGAGCACTTCGATTTTTGTTTTTCTTACTCAACCCCCCCCCCCCCCCCCCCCCTTCCCTGTTGAGCCAAAACAAAATTGCACTGACGATCTCCCTCGAAGCAGTTTCTCAAAGTTGACAGCCCTGAGTAAGTTCAGTCCAGCTTTCCCTATTTTGTACCTTTTTGTACCTGTCGAATTTCCCCTTCCCTTTTTTGTTTTCTCTTTGTTTTCATTATTTGTAGTTTTGATGAGCTAGAGCAGTGCATTAATTAATACACTGATTGTCAACCCTCCGGTCCTGTTTAGTGATACAACTTATCATTTACCTTTCATAAACAGACTAATGTTTTTGTCATGTCTAAGTTTTGTAAAATTTTTGTTAGATGCTTTGTTAGCAAGCACGATTTGTTAAAAAGATAATAAGACAAAAACATGATAAATCGAATCGAATAAAATCAACTTGGTATATGCGATGAAATAGGTCATATTTGGACATGTCACCTTTTCTCATGCTTATAATTATTGTCATAACACGAACTTGTCACTAGATGGCTTTGGATTTATCAGATGAATGATACATTTTCGACGGGGATTTTCTTTTTTAGCAAAGAAAAGAGCAAGCATATGGATCTGGAACTGCAGGACAAGAAAACTATACCGCAAACGGAACATAATGGAAATGACTATTCTACAGTCGTAGCAACCGGTTTGGACACACCAAAGACGAAACCTTCCGTGGATGAAGCGGATGTTGCTACACAGGTAAATTGTATTAAAGCCCCATTGTCCTACTTGTAGCTACTTGCTCCCTCTATATAGAAAACTTCCCCAATCGGTGCCTGTTGGTCCCCCATGATCCTCTTTTTATTATGTTAGTTGAGAGCTGAGTTAATGAGATAGCCACCTGTCAGTGACCTCGCTGTGTGGTCTAATTCCTTCTGGCCCAGTAGTATTGACGGTCTTTAAGTGCTGGGTTTTTAATTCAAATATTATTATCAACAGGGACGGCGATTTCTTGTCGCTTGAGATGGATGGTACAGGAAATCCAACTGCATTCGATATAAAATGTATTTCATTTTAACTTTTAATTTTAGTAGACAATATACAAGGGTCACGCATGTGCTATGTCGTGTGGTACAGAATGACAGACAAAGTTGCAGTGCTCGGAACATGGAACTATTGTCTATAGTGATTAAATCTGTTTACCCAACCTCGAAACAGTCGAATAAGAAATGCATAGCATATATTAGGTCTATAGGAGCAGTTTGTATGGTTGTACAGGGCCTTGGCCTTCCGATTCCTTAAATTTGACAAAAACCTTCATCTGCAAAATAGATATATTTTAATAATACATAAAGTAACGTCTACATTTACTATCATTTACAAATTGATATTGAATTTACGTGGATTTGACTCCTTGGAGCTGACTCTGATCGGTAATTTGCATAGAATCATTGGTATAAAAAGAACACCAAAACCCATTTTACTTGCCTTTGATTATTCTAAAAAATAATATGTTCACAGAGTATCACAGATAACCAACTTACCTTCATTTCGGGAAGCTGTCCAAATAATAATAATAATAATAATACATTAATAGAGCGCAGAAACTATCCAAAAAACTACTGCGCTACAAGAGCTCCTGATATGCTTAGATTTACAGTTAATTAAACAGATGTGTTTTCAGTTTTGATTTAAAGATATTTACAGATGGTGATTTCTTGACTTCAAATGGCAAGTTATTCCAGAGTTTTGGGGCTGCACAAGCAAATGCTCGATCGTTATTTTTGTTTTGATAGATGGGATCTGCAGCAACAAAGTATCTCGGGAACTGCGCAAGTTGCGATTGTGTTGATTAAGTTTGTAATTCAACAGTTCTTTGATATAAGTGGGAGCTTGACCAAGAAGTGCTTTATACACAATCAGCAAGATCATACATAATTGAAATACTTATGGATATTTTAATGATTGTACAGTATTGATATCTTGCACAGTTTTTGTGTTCCAATTAATTAATATATCTCACCATTATTTGAAGTTATCTTGTTATTCTAAAATTTTCATGTTTGTCCAAACCAAACCAAACCTTATGAATGCAAATGTACTGCCAATGAATCTGAATTTGTTATTGTTCTGCGTTTAAAATTATTTCGATTACTTCACATAGATTTCTCCCTCTTCTTCTACTTCAGGCTTAATCTCGTCTGTCCTTTCAATTTCCCTGTCTTCTACCATATATTTTGGTTGTGCAGTTTATATTACTGTATTTTATTTAAAGGTAAAGACCAGTATTGGAAACGCCCCAATTTCAAAAAATGAAATGGAAGCTCTCATTACTAATCATATATTTGGTAAATTTGTTTCTCTCATCGTCTGTGAGAGATATAGGGTAGTCCCATATACATCTTTCTGTGTATAGTGCTTGTAACTTACGAAAAATGGGCCAAAATTCTTATCATTTTGATGATTCCAGAACCTTGCAGATGCTAGATGCAAGATGATCAACCTTTTCTGATCGATTCCACAACGTTTCTTTCACAATCCAATCGCATGACCATAACTGGTCTTTACCTTTACCAATTTTCAATGTATAATATTTCTAAATATTTTAAACTATTGTAAATTCAATTGGTTTCAGCCTTTGGATGCTATTTTGAATATTTATTTTTTGTAAACAATAAACCAGTTCAATCAACGAATCAAAATCATTCTTTTATCTGTAGTATGAGAAAATTACCTCAAATTGACCCAAGAAATTGAACGTGGATTTTCAGAACCTCAGAATTTTAAAGTAGGGGTATCATACATTATTATCTGACATCATCGTTCAAAAGGCTAATAGCGGCCATTTTGGTTTGGTTTGGTTTGGTTTTATTTTCCGTATACAAAAAATTCAATACATACAAGAATACAATTTACAAATAATACAAATCTAGAATAAAAAAACGGCTGGAAAGCTCTATTCAGAGCCATTATTAAAATGGCTCTGTTCTTCCTAGAGGTCCAGAAATAATCAAACATAGAAATAAAACACAAAATATTAAAAAATATATATTACAAACGCACTATCTACAACCCCCTCCCAAACCCTCTATAACACATTATGAATACGACTGTTACCATCCTCCCCCCTCCCTGTTTACACCAAAAGTTTATACATCAAAATCTAGTATCCATTCATTAAGGCCCTGTCGAAATAAATTGAGTGTGTTAAGTCTACGTAAGTTAATCGGTAATTCATTATATAATTTAGATCCGCGATAAAAAAAAATGTTCGTTTACAATAATTAGTTTTAGGTTTGGGCAAGACTAAGTTATTGATATTACTTAGGGCATAATTGGTTTCTTTGTAAAAGAGATTATTCTGCATATAGTCTGGAGTTAAATTATGGAAAATCTTATACAGCATTATGTACATGTGCTTTTTACGTCTGGTTTTTAGGGATTCCCATTTTAAGAGGTCGTGAATTTGATATGTTGAAGTATGATTATGAGGGTTTATCTTAAGGATTATCCTACCAGCCCTATTTTGAAGTTTTTGAAGTTGGTCCAGATAATTTTTTGGGGAGGATTGCCATATAATGTCAGCATAATCAAAATGAGGAATGACTATTGATTGATAAATTAGATTAAGAAAAGATTCATTTAAAATGTGTCTCAGCCTTCCCAAAAAGCTTACCATCTTTCCTACTTTCTTAATTACTTCACATAAATGTAAGTCCCATTTTAATTCAGAGTCTATATTCATTCCTAAGTATTTAATGTTCTTAACCTGATTAATAACATTACCACCTAGTTTTAAGTTAATGTTTGATGTTTATGAAGCATTGACTTCGTTCCCATTAACATAGATACTGTTTTTTCACAATTTATATAAAGTTTGTTATGGCACATCCAATCAGATAACGAAATTAATTCATTATTAAGAACAGACTGAACAGCAATAGGGTTTACATTTGAGAAATAAATAACTGTGTCATCTGCATATAAATGCAGATGACAATAATGAAAAGCATTAGCTAAATCATTGATGTAAATTAGAAATAAAATTGGACCAAGTATGGAGCCTTGAGGCACACCATACGTTAATATCAATTCATTTGAAGAAACATTATTTATCGAAGTAAACATTTTACGGTTAACCAAATA